TTCAGCAGAGGATATGGCTGCACACCTGAACATCAGTTGGAACATAGGCATGGAAAAACCTTTTTCTCCAGAATTTACAAAGTAAAACTCTTCTGCTTCTGACGCTGAAAATCTCTATGTGTAAAAAAATACAGCAGTGCATAGTGGCTTTGCCCATCAGCTGACTTCAGTTAATGTCCTGGAAGTAGCTTAGAAAAGGGATGAAACTGAGTGCAATTTATTGCTGTAGCAATCAGATTGAAAAAAAAAATAAAATAAAATAAATTATGTATTTTAAAAAATCCCTCCTGGAGCAATACTGACCTCAATAGAAGTGATGCCAGGGATGAAATTAGATTGTGAGGTTGATTCTCACCTTCTGTCATAAGGGCTGAGACACCTACCTCACACGTTCACAAGTTACTTTATTTTCTACCTTCAGAAACTGCCACATATTTGGTTTTTTTGGTTGGAGGAAAAACCCTTGCCTGGTGTTTGAGCACTGCCTGAGTCTCCTCACTCCCTATCCTGGCAGTAGGAAGAAGCAGCACAAGTTTCAAACACAACTTTGCCCACCACCTGCTGCCACTGCCAGCTTTTTTTTTTGTCATCTTGTGGGACATTGTGTTTTCCTGGAAAAAAAATATTTGCATCCCAGTGGATGAGAGAGACTTTTAATAGCAAAATGCAGTTTTGTATGAGTCTGTCTTTACTGTAAAATAGGTTAAGCTGCCCCAAAAACAGGATTGGGAGTGAAAGACTGCATACTTTTTATTATTTTTTTGTCCTTTTTTAGGCACTCTTGCTTTTCTTCCCAGACTTTTTTTTGTGTGTGTGAGTCTGCGTGTCTTGTCTCTTTTTTTTAGGCACTTTTTTACTTTTCCCAGGTTTCATAAGAAGTAGTCTCCCCATCCAGAATGTGACTGGGGGAGGGAGGGGTTTCATAATGGGCCGTGGTGCAAGATGATGATGAAGGGGGAGAGAGAGAGGCGGTGGGGGGGGGAAACATCACAACCCTCTAAGCTTTAATTTTAATTCTCCTGCCTTTATTTATCTGATTTGTGACCAGATGGTGGTGAAGCAAGGCAACCCCTTTGTGCAAATGAAGCCCACATGTGAAAGTCCTTCTGTAATGTAATCATTGAGACCGGAAGGGTTCATACTGTGTCTGAAAAGAGACAATGGAGCCGGGATATATCAACATCGCCGAAATCGAGTTCATTTGCGATGCAGGCCCTTTGACTATGGTTGTCATGAAAACTTCCTACTTTGATCAGCAGAGGGTGGAGAGAAAAAGAAGAAGGAGAAGAAAAAAAAAAAAAAAGAAAGTCTTCTATAGGGGCAGGGATGCGGCGCGGGTGTTTGCTGTGCACTTGGCTCCGGTTCACGCCCCTTTCCGGAAGACGCAACAGGGAGAGGAGCATCTTGCACCTTGACCTGTCTAGACGGGGTGCGAAGTTTGGGGGGGTGGGAGGTTGGGTGTGTTGTGTTGGCTGTTTTTGGTTTTTTTTGTCCCCGTTTCCAAGGGCGAGGGTTGCTCTTTGACCCCCACCACCAGTGGTGGTGGCTTTCGGGGCGTAGGTAGTGGCCGGAGGTTTCCTGCCGAATTCTCGGCGTGGCCGGGAGGGAAGGGGATGGACAAAGACACGGACCAGCTGTTCGGAAATAAAGCTGAAATAGTAGAACCTGGGAGAAGCTAGGTTTTGTGAGCTATTATTTTCCACACAAAACCCCTGGGAGGTATTAAACAGCTGCATCTGAGCTGGCGAGCAGCGGCTAAAAGACAGAGCAACAACTGAGAGGCCGGGACTTTTGCAAACTCCACTTCAACTAGAGAAACAAGTGGCTGGAGCACCAAGGGCTTTCATGGCCCGAAACATCCTCCACCGGTGGCCGTCTCCCTTCGCCTTGGTCTCTTCGGGCTGCTGGGAGGTTTCAAAGTGGGCTGCTGGCTTTGGAGGAGGGCGAGGGGCGCGAGGGGCGCGTTGGGTGTGAGCTGGTTCTCCAGGGCCACCTTAGCTGGAGCTGACGTTTTTAATTACGTGTGTAATGTAATGTGTCAACAATTCTACTTAGCAAGAGGGATGCTCTTTTTCTTGTTCCGGGATCTAACTAGGCATTATCTGTATGAAACGTAGGCTTTTTTTTTTCTTTTTGTAATATCACAAGGAAAAAAAAAAAAAAAATCAATTCTTGCCTCTAAAAGTTTCCTTAGCAAAGTCAGAGAGCAACTTCATGGAGTTGTTGGGACAGAAAAGGAGATGGGAGAGATTTGCTCCTAGGCGAGAAAAGAAAAATCTATGCGGACCTTAAAAAAAAATATCTGGGCTTTAATCTGATTCTTACAAACCTTTGAAATTTTCTGTAAGCCAACATAATGAATCAGTAACCTTTTCTTTTCCAGCAAGAGCTGTGTCAGTGTGCCCACTCTTTCTCGTCACAAGGAAATACATGCAGATTGTGCCTTGTTTTAAGATTCTTGCCATATTTTAACATACTCCGTAGCAGCTCCTCACAGAAACAGGCTGAGTATTTGGAGATAACACTGTGTTTTGTCAGATGCTTTATAACATTATTTAGAAATGTATTTGGATCTATTTAGGGCTTCATAAATATGAATAAAGCATTTACAAAAGGCACGTCACTTGCAGAAGTAACCCATGGATGATATCAGATGCTTTATACATTACAAATTTCCTAAACTCCAACAGTTCAAAACTACATTTTACTTGGGGAATTTTTTCTAAGTGATTAAATATAAATCAGAATTTCCCAGAAAAATATCTCTGTTGATTTACGTGCAGGAAATAAGGGAATCATGCTAGTAACTAAAAATCCAGATTGCTCTAAAAGTAGTTTCAAATATTTATGGACAAATTAGAGGAGGAGGAGAGGGTTGTCATCTTTTTTTTTTTCTTAGGTCTCATGGCATAGGGATGGATTTTTCTCAGTTAATTCTGCTGAAAACACTGAGGTGCTCTGCTTGGCCTCATGCCAGAGCTTTTTCCAAAGATACTTTTAATTTTTTTTAAATGCTTTTGAGGTCTTCTTTGGGGGGGAGTAATTTATTTTTGTCTATTTTTCTTTCTTCTTTTTTTTTCTTTTTTCTTCTTGTGGGAAACATGAAAAATAAAAATAATTTTTTTTAAAAAAAAAAGGACCCAAAAACCCCACTGTGGGGTTGTGGTGGCCATGGCCTTTGGAGCAGTTGGGGACTTGAAAGAGGCAGGGGAGTGAGGCAGCCTCCACGCTCGGAGGGCCAGAGCTCCCAGCAAGGAGCTCAGGCAGCAGCTCTGCCTCCGTCACCGGTACTCGGGGTTATTGCACGTCCTGACAGATCCTGGCTTCATTTTTTTTTTTTTTAGCAAAGCACAGCAAAGGGCCTTTTTCTGTGTGTGTACCAAGCATACCTTCAAATGAGCAGATTTTATTTTGTTATGTTTTTTCTCCTCTCATGTTGAAGGGCTTCCCCTTGTTTATGGGTTGTAGCCTGGATTTTGGGGACAGGAATTCCCTCTTAATATGAACCCAAGCTTCCTAAAAGGTGCCAAACGTCAGGCTGGATGGTGCACCACACTGGAGTTGTGCATCTCCACCTTTCCCAGATCAGAGACCCATTTTGTGGCACTGAGGTGAATTACCAGCAGCTCCCTAAATACTGGGGGTGGAGGGATCTCGGCAGCTCCTTGCTGTCGTCTGCTCTATCTGTGGTGAAATCAGAGCTGCATCTGCAAGGGCAGGGAGCTGTATTTATTGCACATCGTGACCACTAATATCAGAATACAAAATGGACTTGTATTTAAATTTTGAGTGCCTCCTCCCTGAATCCATGTTGAAAGAGGGTGGATGGAAGAGGGGGGGGGTGTCCCTAACAGACTGAAATGCCTTTTGGAGGGGTTCCCCCCCAGTGAGTGTGGTTTTGAAACAACCGTGAGGCTGGGCATAAAGTTTAAGTAATATTTGGTGGCATTAATTCTGGGGCAGCCCCCATTCATCCCCATGCTGCAGGGAGAGCAGAGCCAGCCGGGGGCTCCTCGCTGCAGCATCGCAACCGCCTGGCTTATTTCTAGCTAAAAAGAGGGGAAAAAAACACAGTATGAGTATCCTCCTTTTTTTTTTTTTTTTTCTCATCCTTACAGTGGGAAAGTATCATAGAAGAATATGAAGATGAAATATTCTCACTTATCGCCCAAGAGGCAGACTATCTAGCTGACAAGCTGTGCAGTGAAAAATCAGGTACTGTGTCTGATGTAACATGTGCTCTCTCTACAGCCGTGTGGGGTTGGGCTTTTTTTTCAAACCCAGCGTACTGCTTTGGCCGTCACCGGTACTCGGGGTTATTGCACGTCCTGACAGATCCTGGCTTCATTTTTTTTTTTTTTAGCAAAGCACAGCAAAGGGCCTTTTTCTGTGTGTGTACCAAGCATACCTTCAAATGAGCAGATTTTATTTTGTTATGTTTTTTCTCCTCTCATGTTGAAGGGCTTCCCCTTGTTTATGGGTTGTAGCCTGGATTTTGGGGACAGGAATTCCCTCTTAATATGAACCCAAGCTTCCTAAAAGGTGCCAAACGTCAGGCTGGATGGTGCACCACACTGGAGTTGTGCATCTCCACCTTTCCCAGATCAGAGACCCATTTTGTGGCACTGAGGTGAATTACCAGCAGCTCCCTAAATACTGGGGGTGGAGGGATCTCGGCAGCTCCTTGCTGTCGTCTGCTCTATCTGTGGTGAAATCAGAGCTGCATCTGCAAGGGCAGGGAGCTGTATTTATTGCACATCGTGACCACTAATATCAGAATACAAAATGGACTTGTATTTAAATTTTGAGTGCCTCCTCCCTGAATCCATGTTGAAAGAGGGTGGATGGAAGAGGGGGGGGGTGTCCCTAACAGACTGAAATGCCTTTTGGAGGGGTTCCCCCCCAGTGAGTGTGGTTTTGAAACAACCGTGAGGCTGGGCATAAAGTTTAAGTAATATTTGGTGGCATTAATTCTGGGGCAGCCCCCATTCATCCCCATGCTGCAGGGAGAGCAGAGCCAGCCGGGGGCTCCTCGCTGCAGCATCGCAACCGCCTGGCTTATTTCTAGCTAAAAAGAGGGGAAAAAAACACAGTATGAGTATCCTCCTTTTTTTTTTTTTTTTTTCTCATCCTTACAGTGGGAAAGTATCATAGAAGAATATGAAGATGAAATATTCTCACTTATCGCCCAAGAGGCAGACTATCTAGCTGACAAGCTGTGCAGTGAAAAATCAGGTACTGTGTCTGATGTAACATGTGCTCTCTCTACAGCCGTGTGGGGTTGGGCTTTTTTTTCAAACCCAGCGTACTGCTTTGGAGGAGAAGTGGGCTGTTGTTGAATAAGCAATGACACTACAAGACTTTTTTTTTTTTTTTTTTAAATTCCCTTTCTTTTTTTTTAAAAGGCTTTTAATTCTTTTAATTCCTTCGTGCATATTAATGCAGCATAATTTCAGCATCCCAGCTAACGCGGCGTTTTCCTCCTGGAGTTACACGGGGATTTTTGCTCCTTGTGTGTCTGCGCTGTCATTTCCAAGTCAGAAATGAAACTAACCCTCTTGCAACAAAATACAGGCATTTGTTTCTCCTGTTTAATTGCTGTTTGTGGCTACTAAGCTGAATGGCAAGCCATGAGAGTGCAGGTTTAGAAATGTGCTGTTCATTTTTAGATGAACTCTTCATTGCCCTCAGACACAAGCTGTCCTTAGAAGGACTGGCCAATCCAATGCCACCACCTACCAGGGAGGATACATTTTATAAATCTTTTATTTCTCTGTAAAATATGTAATTTCAAATAAGTAAGGCCTCTTTTCAATCCTGACAAAGTATGAAAATGCTTCCAAAAATTAATTATAGCTTATTTAAAATCTTTCTTCATCCCTCTATTTGTTGTCCTTATTTTCAGTATTTTAGTTTCTGTAACTCCTTTATTAATTTCTGAATCTTAAATTCACATCACTTAAGGCACTAAGTACTATGAGATGATAAAGTTGGATTATCCTTTCTTAGTGTGCTGCCTTTAGTGATAGAATATGCATGAAAATATTGATTTCAGAATCAACGCCTGTAAATATTGGTGTGTGTTTTTTGAGGTTTAAAGGCTGCAAGCATTATTTGGGATGTAAGAAACAGAGCCCACAAAAAGTACTGCAAGTTGGTGAAAGCTGATTCAATAGAAGTTCAAAGAAATAAGTTTGTGTACTTTGAAGCCACAGTGTATTTTTAATGCTTATTGAAAAAGCATAGTCCAGAGCACTGGAGAACTCCATCTATAATGAGACAAAGTTCTCTCTATAATCTGTGCAGACAAATAATTTCAAAAAAATAAACTTTCCAGAACAGCTATGATTTTTTTACAAGTATTTCTTATTTGTCATATGTGCCATGAGTGAGCCACTCTTAATTGTGCCAGAAGAACAGACAAACGGAGTAACAACTTATTTTGAAACCAACATATTTCCTCCAAAATGGACGGCAGGATTTCTGGAAGTGAGACTTGTACAGAGAAACTTTCTGGGCATTTCAGAAAAAAAAAAAAAAAAAAGAAAAAAAAAGAAGAAAAAAAAAAGGGTCCATGACATAATGTAGAAAAATCATTATCTTCCAGAGAGATTTTCTCAGAGAAGAAGAGATTGGGATAAATCCCCTCTCCTCCTTGCTTCCTCTCATTACAGCCTTTAGCCTTTTCAGAGAACAAATTGCAGTTTTGTGCATATTCAGTGATACTACAGCAATACTTGCCAAAATAACTCAGACAAAATATTTATACTGAAGCCCATGCTGTTAAAAATACCTTTTTTTTCTTATTTTTCTTTTTTTTTTTCTTGGAGGATCTGCTCAAAAGCTTTTTTTATTTCCCTTTAAGATCACATTTTGGGTTTAAAAGCCACATTTCATGTTCACCTAGCCTTCTTACATGAACAAAACAATTTCCTCACTTCTGGCAGAAGAGATTGCTATAACTGCACATTCTCCTCTTTCACACATATACCCCCCCCACACACACACACCCCCCATATGTGCAGGGCTGCTCTTCCTAACTATAAATAGTGGTCCACAGAGAAGCAAGAAGTTTAGTTTTCTTCTTGGCAATTAACACAGAAAAACAAGCTGCTGTTTAATAAACAGAAGTATAAGCCCTCATCCTTGCAAATATAAGATGCTTGCAAAAGTGGTAGGAACACTACAGAGCAATGCTGAGCTACCCTGGCATAAAAATAAGGGCAAGAAATTAATCTGCCATTTCCCATATCACCCCATTGCCCATTTTAAAAATGTCAGTATGTTAAAGAGTAGAGACTAAAAAAAGCTACTGAGACCTTTTTTTAACCTAATTCTCTCTCTCCGTATAAAGTGGATTGAAAAGAGATTTATTAAATTTCTTTTAAAATAATGAAAACGCATTTCCATCGACTCTGTGGCAGGCAGAGAAGAGCTGGCAGAGAAGGACAGTGATACCTGACTGAGCAGGAAAGTGCCTGCCTGGGTTTTTCCAGGGAAAGTAAATTTGGGCTCTGGTGGCACTGGAAGCAGCGAGTCTTCAAGATTGTGTCACGATTCACGCCAGCAACGCAACACTAACATAGAACTTACCAAAGCCTCCAACTCACAGAACACAATGAGAGTTATATTATTAAACCTTATCTACCTTACAATGGCAATTTTCATTAATACATTATATTAAAGCAACATTACATCCTTATCGTCTTACTGTAAATTATTGGGGTTTTTATTCAGAGCTCCCCATGGTCATTCAGAATGACATTTTTAACTTCTCTTTCTCTCTTTTTTTTTTTTTTTTTTTTTTTTGGCAATCTATCATACTAAGCAACAGAAATAGTATAGAAAACCTCTCCATGGGCCAGTTGCAGGTTTTGATGCTGTGGATTTCACCATAAAGCAGGAGAAAAAAACCAAAACAAAGCAACAATAACAACAAAAAAAAACCAAAACCCAAACAAATCAGTGGTGTATTCATTTCATTATTGCACTGTTAATTCTGTTTTTAAAGGCTGCGTACATGAACATGGCTTATTTCTTGTGGTCTGTTGCAGACTTAGTCATATTAGTGTAATCAAACCCTTTTTATACTGTGCTGTGGTAAAATTGTAAGGATTGCAGTTTCCCCTCAGCCTACAAACATGGCATGAATGGAAATTCCGCACTACAGGAAGAAAGCCTCTTACCCATAAGTCACGTTTAGTACTTTTAATTTTTGTTCTAACATCACACCAGCTCTTTTTCTACGCATACTGGAGGTGGATGCTTCTTGTCTGATTAAAAAGTGGGAAACTTCAATAAAGTCTTTTAGCATGATCAAACCGTTTGATATTTACAAGCATAGATCCGTTCCCTGTCATGTATTCTTTGATCACGCAAAAAGTCTCGGCACTAGACAGGCAGGCAAAACCTGCTGAGACACACCTTCAGATCCTTTACTATTTTTACAAGCTTAAAAAAAAAAATATATATATATAATCTAAAAGTTAATTTTCAAGCAGATCGAACAGGAGGTGCAGTTGGCGATTAGACCAGTGGAATAATAGAGGGGTTTTTTAATTGCAGAGCCCTTTCATTTTCTTTCCTGATTGCAGTAATTTTCTGTGTGTGCTTTCTGGGTTTATATATATTTTCTCAGTTGGGGTTCAGTTCCAAACCAGCAGCATTTCATTTGGGGTTAGATGGAGTTATGCGAAGACCAGTAAGAAGCCAGAAACCAGCTGAAGCTTGTGCTAATGCACAGACCAGGGCCAGTTGATTTATAAGGGGAAAATAATTTAATACTGCATTTTTTATGACTGCTGAAAGCTGTTTAAGTAACACCAGGACTTCTCCTACTTTTTTAAAAATTATTTTTATGTGCACACAGCTATAAAAATGTTCTGTTTGGCTAAAATCTTCTAGTTGCTGTTTTGTCTTAAAAGCAATTTAGCCTGTATATTTCTTTATTTAACTGTTTGGAAAGTTTGACTATAATTTAGGCACCCGATGCTGAGTTATACAAAAGTGAAACAAAACGCTCTTATTCAGCTGCAAAGAAATCCAGAAGTCTCTTTCTGCACAATTATTGCCCAAACAATTGTGTTTTTGCAAACTGATACTTTCTAGGAAGCTTGTTCCCAGTGAGAACTACTCTCCTGGAGAGTTTAACAAAGCTAGCAGCTACATCAATTAAAAGCAACTAAAATGTCTGTTATGGGTACGTGCAGAATATTAAACTGTCATTAAACCATTTACCATTTATCTTAACACTCTCTGCAAAATTGTGGTTAATAAAGGCAATATATGAGGTATGAAGCTGTGGTTTAATGTTGCCACGGAACCCTGGAAATACATATTTCTCACATTTTTCTCCCCATGCAACTAGGAAAAAACCCAGTATCTAGAGAGATTAGCTTTGAGTCCCCTGCCCTGCAACAGGATCTGTGAGCACAGTTTTCCCTGAACGCTACAAGGGATTGAAGGATCCATATCAGTGGGGCTTATTAAAGGACTGCGCTGTGACACTCCTTGTTTTAAAATACCAAGTCTGATTAAAAAAAGAAACAGATTTTATCTGTGGCAATAAGATTGTATTGGGAAGACGAGAGAAAGTGCATTTAAACACCAATAGGAGCCCCTCTGGAAAGAGAGTCGGGATGTTTTCTGTGTTTGCTGGAGAAGTTAAATTTTTCTTAGGGTGCAACATGCTGGGGTCTGTTCTCCAAGGCTGATCCACAGCCAACACCATTTGTGGGAGCACCAGAAAGTGCCCAAAGCCAGATGTGAAACCCACCTGGGCAGCAGCAGGTTCACCACGAGCGCTTGGGTGCTTCCTGGCTTGGGCTTCTTGCAGTTTTTTCTCTATAAACTGTGTTTTTATGATGTGAAAATTATTAGTGATCCTGACGTTGTGGGCTAATTTGTCAACTAAAATGAGCAAGAGTTTTCAGGACTTTGTAAAAATGCCAGCATGTGTGGACATGCATGGGTCGTGTCCGCTCCCTGTAAGGGAAGAGTCAGACCTGGAATTATTTGACAAGTTTGAAGATAGGAATGGAGAATAGATTGGTTTACTCTATCCTTATTTAAAAAAAAAATAAAATCTTTCTTGCTCTGTTTCAAAGAGTCTGTCTAGAAAATCCTGACTTGCTCTCAGTACATCATGGTTATTCCTCACGCTGTTCCTCCTTTATGTTTTATGGTGCAGAAGTAGTTAATAACGTTCTTTCATTTCACCCTAACACTTTCAGTGGTGGAAGGGCTTCAA